ATTATTTTCTCTATCAGAGGTTGCTGGCCTACCTATAGCCTATTGGCGAGGTCCACAGATTCTCCCTCGACTGCTCCGGACCTTTCTAGACCCAATCACCCCAACGCCAACCCTTGGGACAATTTCATTGAAACTCTCTTTTGCCCTTTTCCCCCTAATTCTATCTGTGAACTTTGCGTTTTGGCATCAACTAATCCCATCTTTGCCCTTGTCAGAAACAGTTACACCAGCCTCGCAGTGGCTGGCTACGATACTCGTCGCGAACAAGTGAATAATGTCCGGGCAATAATTGAAATATCAACCACAATTCACCGCCCATAATTGAATCTGATCAGGAATGCAATTTCCGTCGGTCAGTGATACAAATTGCCTTTTCTCGGTCCATTTGCGACAGATGAGCAGCAGTTTGGCGAACTTTTAAGTTATTGTGAAACGTACAAAGGGACAATTCCAGCAGTATGGCGTGTTTGCATTCGGGGTATTCAGTGTGATTTGCATTATAACTTTGTGCAAATACATATTTATAAAGGTGTGAGACTCAAGCAAGCGCTCAAGCAAGCGCTCAAATAAGGCTAAAAAGTCACACACGCTGCATTCTATCTATGGGAAAGCATATTCAGCAGAATATAGTTCAAAATACAGTCACACATACCAAATTTGAGTCATAACGTCAGTTGGTGTCCTTGCTATTTCATTTGATAAATAAGGGAATTCCGATTTACCTAAACTTGACATTCAGTAAGTTAACAGGAACTTTGGTAGACCTATAATGTATCGCCTAATTTACTGGTATTACACCATTGTGCTGACAAGATTAGCGTGTTGCCAAACGGTAAGATGCACTTTCCGTTGCACAACACGTGATGTTGCCGTTAATTAAATAACCTTTACTGATTGAAACAAGCGAACACGTGTTTTCAAGTGTAAGGCCATGCTCCACATTGTACCAGACTGAAGTGCCAACTTTTTGATACCCACTTGATGATTGCATGAATAACCACCGTTTCCGAGCGCCATCTTAATTACCCTGCTCTTCCTTCCGTCTGTCCTGATATCTAGATCGTTTCTCCGAGAATTTGTACTGGTGATGTACAAATTTGACAACTTCAATTACCCCGAGCAGCTGTAATGTAAAGCAGGCAGTGCACAACATGACAAGGAATGGGGTCGATAAATTCAGTTGCCTAAATAAGTGGGAAATGAGAACCAATCTGCGGAAATGGGAGGATAGTCACACAGTAAATCTGTCAGTTGTGAGTGAGGGTTCCAATGCCCCCAGTTTGCCTGTACTTTATCACCGCTGGTATATTTTTAAGGTTCACTTTTAAACAGAACATAATACACCCCACAATTGGCCTGCTCTATATTTTGTGACCAAAACCTGGCTTACAAACCACAGATCTTGTGGTTATCGCGCCCAGACACGGACCCCACGTCAAAATCTCATTTCTAATTCTGTAACCAAATACAGATGTATACGCGGCTCTCAAAGGAGATGCGTGAAACTTTCCATGCATGGAAACTGACAAATAGCCTGCATTGGCGTCGTTTCTCTTTTTAGTTACATTTCAACGTGATTTACGTGCACGTGTATGCTGTGAGTGATTGATTGTTCTTGACTCATCTGTTCAAAAATTGCTCATGCAAACTCTAAACGTCTTCAAAATACTGACTGGTTTGCTTAGCTCTTGTGAGCTGTCACGAAATCTCGTATCTACTGAAACAACTCGAATAAGCCTTTTACTATAGATTCAATTCAGTCTTTCTTGGCCCGGACTTCAAATAACGTTGTCTTTCCTGATCTGAAGTTCCACCTTTTGCCATATGCCTCCTAGTCAAATCTGAAACATATTTTTTTTTCTTAAGAAAACAATTCCAGATAGTGTGACATTATATTTTATGAATTTCTTCTGGACGCCTGACTTTATTCCCAAAACGGTGAAATACTTGTCACTGTTGATTTACATCAAGCGTATTCAGTTCAAATCCCGGGAAAATAATAAGTTTTGACAAGTCGAGATAAGATCTGGCCGAAGGAAAGCTCAACGGTACTAATCCGTGTTTTCAAGGGGGAAACAAATCAAAAGTATCTTTCCAAAGAAAATCCTGCCTTTTCCCAGGACTCCGAGAAATGGATTTTAATCCCGAGCTGGCAGGGGCCGAGGTACCCTTTTCATTTCGCCCTACGCTCGAAGCATCTTGACGCATTAGAAAACGACACCAATTTCCTGAGTGGAACACTCTCACAATGCATTATAACCGAACACTCGGCATTACATTTCTCGCTAGCAATCATCTCTGTTTTTTCGTATAGCTCGCTGATATACATCAGCCTTAAGCGCAAAGACCTAACCTATGAATCAACCTGGATATCGGCCTCGTCTAGACTTTGCCAAGTCTCTGTTGGTCACGGTTTCCGTATTCCACAAAAAGGTCAGACATTATTTTGTTGTTTTTCTCGCAAACTGTTCTCAATCTCAGGCCTCCTTGTTTTTTTTTTTTAAATACAAAATGTACTCGTTCTCATCAATTACAACACATGAATTGTTTTACCGCACTGTCATATTACTGCGCGTGCTTTCTATTGTCACATCAGCAGGCATTGTTTTAATGAAATCCCATTATGTCTGTATCGACACGGTACAAAGTACACGGAGCCTGGGATTTCCCTTTAAACCCCCGGTGGAATACCTGCTCACCTCTGATAGATCGGGCCGCCATCCCCACCCAATTTGAGCACGGAACTCGGCAGCACTCATACTAATTGACCACGGAACTTAACGGTGCACCCCTGCACCTGTGTCGGGCTGGGGATTGGGCATTAGAACGCGCCCTATCAAGTCATAAGAGTGAGTACCAATGAGGGTCAAAACTACTTTCTATTCTGCTAGTCGAACGCCTTTGAAAAACAAACTGTCGAATTAAAACCTGAAAAAAATCCATCTCCACTAATTTTAGTCCAAAATTTAAAACTTCAATAAGAAAGTTAAAATCTTCAGCGAAAGGTTCATCCTGAGTTATTCTTCTTCGAAACTTTAACTGATAAAACATTCAGTAATTAAGACAAATGTTGAAACTACAAAAACGTTCAGTGAAACAAGTATGATGTCATTCGCTAACCTTTTGGCCAGCACTGTACGCTCTGAAAAGTATTTCTTTTGGCTGACCTTCTTTAAAAAAAACCACAACATAACCTGCAAAACTGCAACTTAACTAATGCAGGCTGTAGCTAATTAGCTCTGAACGACCTACAATTATTTCAAATGCTACAAAGCACGTATTTCTCATGATTAGTTTCCACACATCATACAGAATAAATGTTAAGCGGTTCTATTCTCCAAATTAATGAATCGAGAATCAATCTCATTCATTTTAATTGTTTAATACCGCTGAAATGATGCTTACATTTTCAGTGACTTGATTATAATAATGTATGGTGATATAAATGAGGACGATAAACTAATAAACAAATAAATATAAAGATAAAAATTACTTATGACTGGACGAGAGGACCCAACAGCAAATAATAAGTCTGACTACCGGGGGAAAGGAAGAGGCACCCGTGGGTGGGGAAAGCTTGAGCCAAAGGGTCACAAAGGAAAGCCAGGCTTACATGGCTTAGCCCAGATCTTTCCTGAGTGTCCCTTGATGAGAAGAGATAAGACAGTCAGAAGGAATACGCTGCCAGGTTGTAGAATCAAAGACTGACCTGCATACAAACAGTGCGACGGACTCGCAGACATTGTGATCTGCATAGATACACGTTAGCACGGTGGACAACCGTAACAAAGGGATATGAATTAAAGTCGGTTTCAAGAAAGCAAGTTTGTTTGATCATGGAAGAACCAATAGATGTTGGAATATGAGATGGACGAGGGGAAAGACTTTTTTTTTTTTTTTTACTGTGGATGACGTAAACGATTGAGAAAAAACAGGATCTTTCAGTCTTTTAAAAATGTCAAAATTTACTCTCAGCCGAGAGCAACTAAAAAGTGGGTCAATATAACTGTTTTTGTTATTCAAGATTGTTGACTAGAAAATAAGAACTCTAGAAGCTAGAACTATCGCCGTGTGTATAGAGAAAGCAGTTGTAATTTTGACTAAAATTCTGATGAGTGCCGGACTAAATACCTTAAAACTGCAGAGCTTCTAGCTCTATTTTTAAAGCATGATCTTGGCATCAAAGGGCATTGTACGCAAAGTAGCTGCCCGTTGACAAGAAAAGTACAGGACATACTCGTTATGTCGCCAGACAACATGGTAGTAGTTTTTGACAATCTAATTAGGGCACAATTACAGGGCGGATCTGGTCGCCATTAGTTGCGTGTCCGCGGTGTGTTTTTAGCTTCAGGACAGGGACACGGGCGATAGGCACAACGGCTATCAATTTATAAACATTTCATAGTAGGTATATAGTTAAATTATGTGATATAAGACCCAGAGTGACTACAGAAATAGCTGGTGCTAATTTGTTTCTGTTAATTTTGATGCAGGTTGATTTTACCAATTTGCAGGTTGAAAGCAGTGTTTACGTCTTAGTGTGCGCCTTGCTTTTGATTCCGAACAGCATAACACAGTGGACTTCTTTAATATATCTCTGGAAAAGTTTAGCCCAATACATCCCAAATCTGTATTCTGTCTAGTTTGCGGTTCGATCTGCCAGTCAATACCCCCTGAATACTCACAGAGGGTGGAGGAGTGGGACGATTGTACAGTGATTGTCAATGGCAACATTTTCTTCGTCAAGATGAACCAGGAATGACAAGTGCATATTGGGGCATCCAGAAATTAAGTTGGCTTGACTTTAATTTTAGACGAAAGATGACGAGTCGTATTTAAGCTGATATGAAACCGTTTCTTTTGATGGTAGTTAACTTGTTTCGTGTTTGCGTAACGCAGTGATTCTAAATAGTATTATTACGGTTACGAGTTGGTTGAAACTGCAAGTAAATAAAGGAGATGTTGGCTTTAAACTGGACAGAAAGTTCTGAGATACTTACGGACACATTCATTGGCTTCTTTGGTGGTTGCCCGTGCCCAGGGTCTGTCGTAATGGAACGGCTTGCACATCTCACACTCTGCTCCCGCTGTGTTGTGTTTGCAGTCGCAGACACGATTCCCGTCCCGGTCTTTGATGCACCGAGACGCGTGCCCGTTGCACTTGCACCGGCCACCGACGGAGAAGTCGGACACGGCGTAATAGTAGCTCTCTCGGATGGAGTCGTCTAACTCCTCGTCTCCCAGCGATGGCAAACGGTTGAAGATCACCTTGATATCCGTGGCTGTCACCCAGTCCTGCAGGACCGGGCTGTTGTCGAAATCGAAGGCGGAGGGGCGACCTTCCAAGGTGCTGAAGGCGACCCGTGAACCGGCCGCCGCTACCGACGTCAGGTCGGGGCTCTGGATGTCGCTACAGATGGCCTCCTGCTCGTTCTGCTTTGTAATCGCCGCATTCTTGGTCTTCCCGTAGACCTTTCGGCACTGGCTGGAGTAGTAGTGATACGGCTGCCACGTCTTGCCGTAATCCTGCGACTTGAGGACGGACAGGGAGTCCGGACGCAGAGAGCAGAATTCCAAGGAGATGTAGGTGAGCTCGTACAACTTCTCCAGCGCTAGGTGCAAAGTGACGTTGTGAGGGTTGGAGGTGAAGGGCTCCGACTGCCAACACGTCAGGTTATTGGGGTTGTGCAAGTCGGTAAGAAACTCCGGAGGATGTCTCCTCTTGGGCTGATTGGCGTCGCACACGAAGCAGTTCCGCTGTCGCTCACCTTCATCCCCGCTTGACAATGCGCAGAACCGACTGGGCGGCGTTCCACAGGTGCTTGACGCCTCCACGGGAACCCCAAACGCAGCGTTGACGAAATCGGGAACGCAGCGCCGGGGCTGACCGCCTGGCTCGCTGTAACACGGGTCGGGCTGATTCTGTTGAGCCGCGAACATGTTCAAATTCTGCGCGTCCGATCTGGCACACCACATCCCACTCAACATCACCGCCAACAAATACCGAAATCTAACAGCAAAATGCATTTTCGTAAAACCAATGCCGGTTTAACCGGTGTGTCTGATAATGTAACTGAAATAAAATCCACAGGGAATCGGTAATCTTATTTTAACGTTTGAAACTTCGAAGTTTGCGGCTGCAGCTCTGTCTGTTAATTACAAATACTGCCAGCGTCGAGTGCTGACCATAAGGTGTGAATCCGGCTTTCCCAAATTGACAAGTGCCGTGCTGCTCTGTGTAAACTTCAATGTGTACCCGGCACACACTGCCAGGTTCTTGAGTCGAGTCGACAGGCTTTTCACGCACCGCCAAACAAGGCAGAATGAGGGCACATTGAGAGATGTCGATGCGCCTCCTCTTTTCACGCCAATATTTGTCTTGCTCTCAACTCGAACAAATCCATCCCCAGCTTGTCTCATACAAATCCAACGATCCGGGGTTGAGCTGTGTTACCTGTACACACGCACGTGAACACGATCGTCTATTACTTCCTGTTTGTATTAAGCTCCACCGCAATATTGGCGTGTCAACTGCCGACTAAAGTGGGTTGTGTTCTGTCAACTGCATCGGGGAGTTGGGGTCGCGAAGAGAGAAAAAAACTCCAGAGGGTTTCCAAACGACCAGATGCACGCACACTGAACTACGCAAGAAGGCCGTGATTAGATATGTCTGATTGGCTTCTAATCGTTCTTGCTATACTAAACACGATCACCCCTTCCTTTTTGCTTGAAAGTGTTTTGGGGCGGTCCCCGATAAACAGAATATCACCAATTCAAGCAAATGAGTTCAACTTCGCACGTCAGCGCGCACAGCAACGATACTGCGCAAGCGTTAAACAGACCAATCAGAACGCCCAACCTACAAGTGCGCTGGATTCAGACATTACGCAGTGTGGTCTATGGTCAGTGGCACTGCAGTTGCATTCACAAAGTTCACTTCGGGTGTATGCTCACAGTCACAGCACCTGACTGTTCTATATTTCATGGACCTCACTAGCACTATGCAGACTTACTGGTTTATGAATTGTTGGTCCTTTCTCTATGGCTGTATGTATAGCTGATTCGATTCTGGAAGTGTGGAGACGGAATTTCAACATACCACGCCACTTCGGCTGCCAATGACCCGCCGATGATTTGATCCAATTGACGGCTAATTGGCAGCTGCACAACTCCACGACAAACAAAAATGTGCAGTCATTCCCCTTTCCAACTTTCACACTTTACCTGTCGGCCAAACCATGGGTTTAAATATGCCTCACACAGAGATGATAAATATAAATATATGATGATCGCGACAGGCTCTCGACGGAAATATGCATTCGGAATGTCTGACTGCGAACCAGACACTCAGTACTTGCTCCTAACTTATGCTCAGATGCGCATGTACAGTGTTTCATTATGAAATAAACGGTGTATACTGCGAGTCTGATGGAAGTTGTAGCTGTATTAACTTGGAAGTATAAATAGTAAAATGTACATGTACATTTGTGACTTGCGTAAGCGTCAGGCAATAAAACCACGAAGAGAACTTTGGGAACTTTGCGTGAACACCCTATAGCTATACACGTGACATAACCATACCCTTTTCCGACCATGTTTAGTCCCATTAAATGAGATAATTAAATCACTTTTCACAAACTGAATTTGAAGATTGTTATCTCAATTGGATTTCTGTGCCAATTTTCATAAAGCCATGGATAATTATCCACCGACCTGCTTAAGAGCAAACTTATACGGCTTGACCTCAGTTTGCTAGCCGTGCCTCTTAACAATGCACGTGTCGACGCAGATCACACCTTTTTTTCTGACAGCGTATAGCAACAGACCGCAGAATTTTGCGGTGAGCCGCGCGGTCAGACTTTTGGCGGGGTTTTTGTTACCGTGTAATTTTTGCCCTTGGAAAGGCAGTTTTTCACGACCGGCCCCCTACATGACTGGTGAAGGTCAGATATGCACTTGATTGCCCCCTTAGGAATAAGTTATGAAAGTAAAAGCGGTGAACACAACAGCCGTTTAGCCCAGGAATTGTATTGTGTTTCAATGCTTATAGGCCTACAGGGTGAATTGAAACCAGTAGCACTTTTCTCCCCGAATTAATTGCGAAGGCTCATTTCTTTTAATCGGTATAATTTATACACGCTCACGATGAGTAGAAATTCGAGGACAGCTTCAGTCTGAAATCTGACATTACGCAGGTGGCAGAACATGTATGCATAAGGTTATACTTTTAATACCAACAACTTGAAATGAAGGAAATCTGAAACTCCACAAAAACTGCATTGCAAAACAAGTTTGTTAATTTCATCACTAACACCGCGAACTGACCATAGTTTGTTGTAGCGGAAATTTCTCTTGCAATAAATGAAGTCATTTTACGTATGCACTCGTCTCAATTGTTGAAATCGATTTCAGAGCTGTCAGACATAGGTGTTGTATTCATCAACTGAACAATTAGAGGTGGATCTGACTCCCTATCGAGACTTCAAAACCGGGTCACGTTGGCGGCGCCATCACCCCGTTGCTTGATACACACTCACGGCACAAGGGAACGCACGGTCTGTGAACTTTGCAAATAATGTGCGAGAGCAGTCACCTGTAACTACTACTAGCCGGAACCTGCAAGTTAGCCAATTTCTTTTGCACTTCGCTCAAACGAAAAAAAAAATTCCTATGCCTGAAGCTGCTTTGGTGACAAGAGCTTGGGTCACCTTCCTTTTCAAAAGTACAGGTTTACCTCTTCCTCTCTGAAGCAATGAAATGCTCTGCATCACCAGGATAATTAAAGAACTTGTTTGAGCAAAGTACTCTTTTAAATAAGTCTGGTCTGATATTAGCCTATACCAATAGTGATATTCAGCAGCAGAACATGGAGATAGTAAGCATGAATCTCCCACGTCAGTAGCCTAACAAATCTTGAAAACTGCAACCTGAAGCCGAACTTGGAGACGAACCTCCCGGCCCTTCTGTTTGTTTGTAGCATCAAATACAATATCACCTTAAGGATATGAGTACTGTATACTGCGTAACCGTCTCTGGCTTGTTCTATTTGTCGAGACAGACAGACAGGTGTGAGACAGTTAAACTTGTCACCAATAGGCGTTTTATTGATACGTCTGTGTTGGACAATACCTAGTCTAGCGGCTCCTTTCATTGCTCTTTTTTTAGATTCTCTTGCACCGGCCAGTCACAGTTATTCGCTAGACTTGTTAATAATATTTTCCCGACGCAACGGCCACGTCATGGGTGGCATGGGTGGCTTGTGCGTAAAGCGCTCGCCTCTCACCAAGGTGACCACGGTTCGAATCCTGGCCGCGGTTCGCATGTGAGTAAAGTTGTGCGTTGGTTCTCTCCTGTGCCACGAGGGTTTTTCTCCGGGCCCTCCGGTTTTCCTCCCTCCTGAAAAATCAAACACTTTTGATCTCAGGCTGTGCTCCGTGGTCATATATGGGTCGATGTGGCCGGCAGCCATAGGCGCCTTTACGTGCCAGCGGCCCGACCACGTTGTAGCCGCGTCCTTCGCAATTCAGCATACCAGCTGCGAGTAAGGATGATTAGCCTCCCAAATTATTATTATTATTATTATTATTTCACAACAAAAATATATTAATGGAAATCATCGTGTATACAAACATTTTAATTGTTGAGCATTGTGGACCAATTAAAAAAGGAAACACTTAATTTGTGAGTATTACATATCCCATTTCATTTTCTTTGTTAGTTTCTGATCTTACTTCATATGGAAAACCAGCCTTCTCAAAAAGATTACTTTGTGATGTCATGAACATATTTCATTTTGACGATTTGGAAAATGCGACATGTCAAAATAGTATTCCACCTGCTGCATAGTTGAACTCAGAAATATCTAAGGTACAAACCGTTCCGAAGTCATTATTATCACCACATAGTTAGCAACTCTCTCCCTTCGTAACCGAGACAGCAGACCTACTCTACTTTCGGTAAGGATGGCGCTACATACTGCGCTAGCTTCGTCATACAACCCTCGCGTTGATAGATAAGGGATTTCAACTCGGAGCAAAAAATGGGCCGGCTAGACGGCGGATACAGGTCCGATATTACAATAAAGGAGACCTACATGTCACTTTTCTTGTTTCGACTACCATCGCCAGTGAGTCGCTTTTCCTGTCTCGGTGATTCTCACCCCTTGGGTACATCACTTTCGTGCCTATAACATCCTGCCTTATTCCCAAACCGATGACCCATCTTTTTATTCCGCCGGAGGATCTCTTGTTTGGCTTCTCAGGAGTGCGACGTACATTGTAATATTCTTGGTGCCGTCAGAGCATATTAAATGAAGCATCTATTTTGTTGCTTTCAACTGGAGTGTAAGTCTCTGGGTGATAGTGGGGTAGGGATAATTGTCAAGGAGATGCGGATGCCTACGTGAGGTAAATTCTAGACCATGCTACGGGTCAGACGGAGATGATATCAGAGTGCAGTCACCGTCAACAAAAGATCGAACCTGTCACTATTCCCGTTTTTAGTTCACCATCATTATCTACAAAACCAAGACAATGTCAACCACAATAGCACGCACAGGCAAATCAGTCTTTAAGGACTCTGAGTAAAAAAAATAAAATAAAGAAATATTAAACAGAGGAAATGGAGATATTGAATTTCACACTAAAACTCTATTTGCAAACAATCCTGCTTCTTTATCTTAATGTTTAGTGATTGTTTTTTTTTGATTCTGAAATGTAGCTAGCTCGTTGTACTAATTATCATGGAGAATTGACAAATCTAAGAGAAACTAACACAATAGCATTATTCATCACAGAAAAAAACCCAAACGGTTAATTTTTTTAGTGCTGAATCATCCGTCATATTGAAACTTCTTTTATGATGGCATTCTTTCTAATGACTATGGGAATTCGCATCACTATAGAAACAAAAGCCCCGAAACACTTCTAGAGATATTTTGATGGAAGCTTTGTATGCACCGCAGAGGTGAAGTGGGGCAAACAACTTATTTCGACAATT